CTGAATCTCCTGTGCGAAGAGAAGACGTTCGATGATCTCTTGCGCGAGGAGAAGACGTTCGTGGATCCCCTGTGCGAGGAGAAGACGTTCGTGGATCTCCTGTGCGAGGATACATAATGAACATCCATCGTGATGGATTGTTTGTATGGCGGTGCTATGAATGTTGTAGACTCATGCCTTTATTTCTGGTAGAACTTAGAGTATTACTAGTTGCGAGTGATAGTTGTGTATTCTTAGTGAGAGTTTTAGTGTGGGTTGTCTGTGTTTAATGGATATTAATGCTGTGGTATATTTTCTTTGTTGGGAAGTAGACTACTGTGCAGGATGTTTACTTATACGATTCTACCAGCAGCTTTTGTTACGATTAGGTGACTCTCGTGCATACATGATGACTGATGAACTGCAGGGTTTTCTTCGTAAAGTGATGCTGTCTCTGTTGAAGTGTAGCTTACAATGGTATTTTTACGGATGATTTGAAGATGGTAGAACAGAAGAATGAGAGTTTTACTTCGAACAGGACGACAAATTTCCAGAATTAGATAGATAGTATTGCGTCTGATTGTCATTATTATTGATTTTAATATTTGATGTTGATTTCTAATTGACTTATGTTGCGTTTTGTCTTTCATTAAATGCTTGTCTAATATAATGATAACGAATAATGGTATTTAGTCGTCGAAGATTATTGATTACACATCTATATAATGGATTATTTGAAAGAAAAATTGATGCGGACTATATACGCATACTGTAGTATGCATCTATTGAAAAAAAATATTCGTGTAATTTACATTACAGACCAATTTATGTTGTATAAACGAAGAAAAAATTACGTATGCTACTGCTCGTTTCTGCATCTGTTTATGCTTCATTAACTTTTTTTTTCGTTCTATCATATTCATCGGTAGCTTAAGCGCTATAAGCACAACAAATAATAAAACTAACCACTGCGATGCTCGTCGTTACGACTCGCTTCACAGTTGAGTGAATTTTATTTTGTGACTAATATTATTTTTCAACGATAGTCTCTTACAAAAGAAACTGTATGATTTTGATATGAATGATCATTTGTAAAATAAGCGGATTTCTCTATTGCCCGTAAAGATTTTATAAATTACACTCGCATGTTAAAGAAAGTATCTGAAAAAACCTTATAAGTACTATTCATGTTAAAAAAGTACGATTATTAAACTTTTCCTATTATTTCGTAGTTTATTAAGTGAAATTTAACACTATTCTAAACTTTCTAAAATACTTTCTTTCCTAAAAGAAATTTAATTTAATAAATGAGATTACAAAAATAATTTAATTTAATATATACAGTAATAAAAGTACTTTTATCTAGTTTGTTTACTTCTAAAAATAATTTTTTATACTTTTGTCATTTTAGTAGTTACTTTATAGTATATACAAGTTATTTTATACTTTCTAAATTATTTTTTTAATAATGTTTAATTCTATAAGTACTTATTGATACCATTCTTCGTTCTGAAGTAAACTTTCTTGATTTCACTATTATTTCGAAATACTTTGTAGTACTTTTATAACTTCGAGAAGTATTTTAACGTATGATTTACTTTTAAAAATTATTAAATATTAAACATTAGACTTTTATTAGTACTTTGTGATAATTTCGCATTTTCATATAGTACTGAATGGTGTCGTACGTATAAAAAAAGGTATACTCAAAAGCTTTTGATACTTTTAGTAGTTTTTGAAGTACTTCCGTCTGCTATACCATCTTGAGGAGTGGGTGAGTGTGAATGTAAATACTGTACTCACCTAGGATCCGTAAACATACGCTCAAGATAGACCAACGATTATATCTCGAATGTAACGTGGTTGATTTAAGAACGAATAGTAGTGATTTTAAGCGTCGTATTGGATTATTTCTTGTTTTTATCAATAAAAGTTAATTAACCTTTGAACTTCTAGATAGAAAAGAAAATCAATTAATTCGATATGTTTTTATAACTGTTTTGAAAACAAATAAAATATCAAAATATTTATTAATATACTATTTTAGAAGTATAAATAGTTTGACTTATGCACAATATTTAATAATAAGTCAAAAAATGGATATAATAAATACTACACTCTCCGTCAATTCATTGAGTACGTTCAACATTTGATCTGAAAGAAATACATGTTACTTTTTTTCTGATTTAATGTATTTATCTTTCATTTAGATATATGGAACAACATTCTAAACTATTACATAATCAAAATTGCTTCGGTATAAAATAATAACATACGCCAATTAATCCATATAAAGCAAACTATTAAGTTTTAGGTTGTAAGTGAAGATGTGGAGTGAATAAAGTAGAACATCCACACCCTAAAGTTTCTGTTTGATTAAATTCATTTTATTCTATTTAAATTTACATAAATAGAATTAAAAGAAAAATTGAACTTTAATTAAATTTCAATATATAAAAGATTTATTAAATATTCTATTTGACAATTTTTATTTTGCTTATTAATAAAAGTAAGCAATATACTATAGATTAAATAAAAATATAAAAATAATTCTAATAATTAATAAAAAAATACACAATATATTCTAAAATCTTTGTAAATATTTTATTAGACATATTTCAATATAGATATATGATAATGGTTTGAATTTGTTTTGAAAAAATGTTACATCAAACAGAATTCCTCTGAGAGAATACGTTTTGAACAGTATAAAGTTTTTCCAAACATGTTTTTATTATGAAAAAGATCATTGATTTCAATTATCGCAGATATTTGGTATTATTATTTTCCTACAGCTTTTTATAATGAATCTTTTTAAAGAAAATATTAAATATTTAATATGTTTCTATGTTTAGATATACAAAAAACCAAGGTTTTGGGATATCCAGTTCTTTATAATACTGTCGTTTTTATGATTAAACTTGATCATATCTTATTTATTTCGATATAGTTTTTCGTTTTAAATGAAATCATTATATTTATCATCTTGAAGGTGTGGATATCGGTGTGCGTATAATAATCACACACCAATGTTATAGATACTCACATCCACCCTCAAGAGCAAAGTTGAGAGTATGAATTTCTTGAAACTTGTATTACTGACGATTCAATACTCTTCTATGGTCGTGTTCTATAAACGCCGTTTGATAGATTGTTACCTAATAATTATCATACAACAAACTAGCAAAAAATGTAGTTAGAAGACGCATCAACACTTACGATAAACAATCAAAATCTGCAATCAATCATTACATATTCAAACTTTAGAAAAGGGGATCATGGCAATATAGAATTGAAGTTCCTATGAAATGAAAAGACTATCAACACATATTAAGAGAATCTAATTATGTACATCTTTGAGTATATCAATTTTATTTGAATTAAATATTAGGAAAAATACGTGAGTGATAAAATTCCATCAATAAATTAGTATCAAAACGTACTTTATTTACGACCACAACGATCACCATCACCGCCACAACCATAACGACGAGGAACTTGAGAACAAGGGTTATTACGATTAGTAGTATACCAACGACGACTGCAAATTTTAGTGCCAAAAATATGATAACGAGGCCTGCAAATAACACATCTAGGATCAGCATCATAACTACAACATTGAAAAGCACTACGACAAGGTTCATCATACTTAGCACAACTCCTTGCCTTTGCACCATAACATATTTTCATTATTACCAATATAAGAAACAGATAAAACATTGTTTTATAGTGGCTCATTTTGTAATTGTTAAGTTGAAGTGAAATATTATTGGATGTACACTTCTATCTTTGTTTCGTTTCTCTTATTAAATAGAGCAGGAAGCCTATCGATTGATTTATATCACAACGAAAAAGCGTAAATTTTTTTCTTTCTGTCATCAAAACAAACAAAGAAAATATAGTGCCGAAGCATTAAACTCATGTATAGAAGCAATAAAATTTGCCTTTTCTTTTTATCATCGATAGATGCCATCGACCTATTCCAATTTTAAATAAGTATTGAAAGATGAGAAGGAAAATAACAAAAGATAACTGTAGAAAGACATGTGCTCCATTGTTATTTAGATTTACATGTTCTAAATTTAATAAACGACATCCATCTTAGAAGAAATCATTCATACTTCTTTATTAAAACTTTTTGAAATAGTCACCGTCAGTTCACATTTCGGCTTACACATCTAGATTTAAGTTAGCAGACCAATTGTTTTCTAGAAAGAAGTTCTTCTATCTTTCGAATTAATCATGTTATTCATTTTTCCACATTTATAAAATCTCAGTTAGTTCGCATGTCATAATATCGAGGATGTGAGTGGGTTAGTAAGTTGTTTAATCACATTCACACCCTCAAAAATCAAATGATTATACTCGACTACATGCGACTACAAATCGACTTGTTATTTTTTATAATAAAGTTTTATTAGATAATGCATCCGTGCAGACGCAATCAAATAATTCTCTCGGTGCAGTACCACTAAATCATTATTAAGTTCATGATACTAGATTCCACTATCATCAATATATTGTATAGCACTTTCATGATATTCAAGATTATTTTTTATTAATCAACTTTTCTTAATACTCTCATCATAAAATGAATAAAAAACACAAATTAGATGAGTAAATTGATTTTTGATTGTCTATCGAGTAAATCCATTTTAAGTGAATCAACCTCTTCTTTTGAAATTGCATTATTTTGAACAACCAAATATTGTAGGTAAGGTAAATTTAAGATGCTTCTTGGTACACGAGTTATTTGTGTATGAGACAAATCCAAAAATGAGAGTTTATCAAGTAGAGCAATGTGTGAAGGAATAACCGGAATTTTTGATTCAGCCATTCTGATTTCTGTTATATTTTTGAAAAAAAGAACATAAGACATATCCATTACCGGATTATAATTCATATCAAGTCGACGAAGTGCTTCAGGTACTGCTATAAATGGAATTTCGGCAAATTGATTTTTATAGAGTGATAGTGAAGAAACGTTTGTTAAACCTTCAAGTTCGGATAATTTGTTATTTGGAAGATTAACTGAAATTAAATTTTTCAATTGACTAAGATTTGGTAAATAAGACAATGAACATTTATCTAAGGATAAACTTTGAAGTTTTCCAAGACTTGACAATTTCTGGGTCATTTTAGTAATTGGTGTATTTGTGATACCAAGAGTATGAAGTTGTTGAAGATTTGATAGAGTATCTGGTACCATATTATTATCGAAAAACATATTCATAATATCTAATGCTTGAAGATTTTTTAAACAGAAAACACTTTCAGGAACGATACTTCCAGCTTGTCGAAGTTGAATCATAATAACTAAAGAGTTTGTTTCATCTAAAATAGCCGTACTTTTATCAGGTCCTTGTTGTTTATAATCAAGACCAACAGTAAATGGAAAACGAGAAATAATATCCAAATCATTGGCATATTGATCACATTGTACATCTCCATTACATTTCACTAATAGACAGCAGATGAAAAACAGATAAACAACCTTGAATTGTTTCATTTTTTTCTTCTTTTAATTGCTTAATTGTTACTCTATGTCTCTCTCTATATATATGCGATCGAAAATAAGAATGACTCTCAAAAATGAGACAGTTATATCGAGATTAAAAGATTCGAACACAATAGGCATGATATACCTTCGAATTGTAATCGATATACTCGGAATTAAAAAAGTATATTTATGCGTAGGCTAAAATCATGACAATATCGTAAACAAGTGGATTTACAGATAAATTACATTCTAAACCACCCTTTTTCAAATATCTGATTGTAAAAGATATTCGTTTTTAATTATATATGAGTGATGGTAACAAAACCTTTGCCTTTTCTTGATGGGTACAAAGAACTCAAAGTTATTCAATATTTTTCTTTAATTTTGGTTATATTCATCAACGACTTTCTCGATTGAGTTATTAGAAATAATCTCAATTTCATCACTTACGAAAACGACTCTGTTTCAACTGATTATATAATCATTTACTTGTTACTGATTAATTATTGAATTGAGTTTGATTATGTATTCATATTTATCAATTGGAATTTATTTTCATTGATATAAACTTCGACAGAAATTGAAAAACTTTTCCGCAAAAGTTAAGATAATATTTATATTAATTTGCAAAAATCAGTTTATCTTAATAATCTTCTTACTTATTTCAATGGGTTTTTGTTGTTTTTTTAGAACAACTTTTTTTTCTATCTTTGTCGATTATCACCATATATACCTCGCAGAAAATGAACGTTTAATATTACAAAGTTGAAGAAGAATATAATTACAGGATTGTCATGTTTTAGTAATCGACAAAACTTTAAAGCATAGGAAATTAAATTTTTAAGTTGATAACAGTATGAAATAATTAACTAGTTTTTATTCTCTAAAGTTATTACAGTACAAGTTCGAAATAAAGTTTTTTATTTATGCAAAAAATAATAGAATTGATGAGAATCAAGTTTACAAACAGTTATCATAGTTTCAACAATATATATTTTTACTAATATATAGAATATGCTAAGTGTCCTTCTGTAAGAAAAAAACAATTAATTTCTTTTGTTGACAACAATATCAGATAACTGATATTTTTTTTTCTTCAAGGTTTTTCAGTAGAAATTTAATATAAAAGAAGTCTGTAAGATATTCAAAGTTTGAAATTTTTCATCGAACTTTCATAATGATTTTAATGTTCGATGGATTTGTCAAATGAATATATTGAGAATGTGATTATGGTTGTAGATGTCTGGTCTAACCATATTAGTTGTATGAAAGTTAGAAGTTATTCTTTGAACATTCATCAAGCAAATATAAAACGAGTGAATGAGTGAGTAAGCAACTGTTATGCTATATTTTTTTCTCAGTCTTCAAGTAGTATCGCACTTTTGAGACAACTCTTCCAATACTAATCTCAGTGGCTCAGTTCTCTCATTTTAGGTGATATATACTTCTCATCAAATCAACCGAATGCGAAGAGAGATGAATCAAAGATTGAATCATTATACGCACATCACTCATCTACTACTATCTCGTATAAATTATCCTCTTCACAAATTCTTCATTGAGAAATTATCTGATATATTTTATAAAAAGAACTTGAATTAAATTATTCTTAATCACATTAATGTACCGTATGCTTATATAAATAAATCGATATTGTTATAGAAATACTTTCAATAGTATCTTTCGAAATAATACTAAATGTAAAAATAAAAGAAAACACTCCCTAACACATTTCTTGTTCACTATTATTGTAATAATAATTTTAATAATATATTTAATTTTTTTTGAATAAACGCAACCACATGGAAAGAAAATAATAGAACAGTGGAGACACTATTTTCTAGTAAAAAAGTAGAAAAAAAAATCATAATAAAACTCTCTTGATTTTTTGCACTTGTAGAGCAAAACTGTTTTAATAGTTGGAATAAATTAAAGAAATTTTGTCAGATATCTTTATATATTTGAATCTTGTCCCATATTTCTGCCTTTTAGACTCTTTATTAAGTTCATTATTTCAGAAACAAGCTTGTAATTACTTCTATATGGCTTCGCTGGTAGTTATTGACAACTCAACTAAAACGATCGTTGAACCATGGTTTATTCCTTTCGATATTTTCATACTTTCCTGTAATGTTTTATCTGTTACAATTGCAATACTTCTTTTAATTAGAATTATTTCTGATAAAACATGTCGAACAGTTCCAATGCTGCTTGTTGGTAATTCATGCTTTTCTACACTTATATTTGGTATTGCTATGATTCTTGTGATTTCACTTACTCTTGAAAAAGATCTCAAACAAATTCAATATTATGATACACTTTGTATATTTGCAGGGTATTTTAGTCATGTTACATGTGCTGCACAGAATTATTCATTTCTGTTACAAGCAATTTATCGATATTTTCTAATTGTTCATCCTTTTCGTTTTGTCTGGCATTCATGTCGAATGCAAATCTTATTTATTTGTATAGCATGGGTATTTGTTTTTGTCTTTCCAATGCTATATTTATTCACTGGTCAAATCGTTTATAATGTCAATAATCAAGTATGTGAATTGCATCATAAATTATCTTTCACAGTTATTTATATGGGGCTTTGTCTCTTTGGAATTCCCATCTCAACAATTAATATTATCTATTCTATATTAGTTCGATATGTTAAGAAAATGAATGCAAATGTAACGCCAAATAATACATTAGTACGTGCACGACGAGAATTAAAAATGATTCGACGTACAGTTATACTTATATCGATTGTTTGTACGGTTTGTTTTCCATTTCAATTGTTTCTTGTAATGTCATTCTTCAATCGTGAACCAAAATATAATTTTCGAATTGCTTATATATTTGGTGAACTATCAAAATTATGTGTGATCATTACTTTGTTTCTATTTACAGATCAATTGAAAGCATCTGTCATGAAAATAATACCCAAACCGACATATACAATCGGAACAACAACGTTATAAGTGAAAGACTCTGTTATATCGAAACTTTAATGACATTGTTTTAGTTGTACTAGTGAATATATTTAAAAGACTGAAAATAAATTTGCTTTCTGAATCACTCAAATTTTGTGTTCAATAAAGGATACTGCTATTGAAATTGATAATAAAACACATCAACTTGCATAAGAATGAGGGTGGGTATGAGAGTGTGGATTGAGCGATGATAGGCACAAACATCTACACCCACACCCTACCTCTTTCTTTTTTACGATTACTGTTACAAATTAAGAATGACGCATAAAAAGTTTTATTGTAAAAATGTATACTAACAAAATAATACTATGACGCGTTCAAGTGAATAATGACATCTTTGATCGCTTCAAGAAGACGAAGAGTACGCCGATCAATAGCAAATGCAGTTGTATCAAGTTGATTGCATACATGTGCATAGGCCAATTCATGTGGAGGATAGGCGAAAACACAACTGCCACCCCTACCTAAACACAAAAATTGATCATCTACATAATATTCATTTTTGAACGATCGAAAATTAGTTTGTGTCTGTAAATAGGTTACCTGTATGACCGAAGATGCCTTCACCCAATGCATTGAAATACTTCCCATATATTTGAAAACCACCCTTGGCAAACGTTGTTTTCAATCCGTACGAGTTCTGATCAGGCTCATCTATAGGTGTCATGTTGATGGCTGCTCGTGCCAATGTTTCTTCATGCACAAGACGCTTCTTTTTTGATCCATTTTCGTCAATATCTCCGATGAGCAATGCATAAATGCGAGCCAACGAACGAGCATTGGTAATACCATTGGTAGCTGGCATTTCAGCTCGATGTAGACGAGGCGAGTTAAAAAGAATTTTACCATCAGGTTGATTGAGAGGGAAAGCACCACTGAATGTTAAGGCTTTTTCAGCTTCTAGAGGCATCGGTGGTGTAGCAGCCGTATTAGTATTGACCTTAAACAAGAAACTAATATTAGATACTTTATCTGAGTTTTTTACCCTTTAAAGCTACCGATTCAGAACTTCAGCATAATTTTTTTTATTGCCATTCACATTCGGTTTGATCAACATACCACACTTAAAAAAAGCACTTTAATTTAAAACTTCTTCGTTGGAAATATCTAGACATGTTCCAACGAGCCAAGTATCAAGGGAAAAAGATGATTTTGCTGAAGTTCTGAATAACAAGCACTTTACTTATATTTAAGTGATTTTTCTTAACATATAAAAACGACTTTTGTATAGTACTAGACATAAATGATGAAAAATAAACTTTTTTCTTTATCGAACCAGTATGCATTCGTCTCCTTATTTACCTGTTTTCTGATGAGAGGAGCAACGCGTGCTTCTATCTTGTCATCAGATACACCAACATAGAAACCGTCTTCCAATTCATCACGAACAAATTGGTCATACGAACGCTTCTTCGGATCGACTCGATGAACCAGTTCGCCGGCCAAAAATCCAAGCGTATGAGCATGATAGCCATGAGCTGATCCAGGTATCCAATGAGGTTTTTCAGCAGCTAACAAAGCAGTGATGTGAGACCAATTATATACATCATCTGCTGTCAGTTGTTGATCGACATAGGGTAGGCCAGCTCGATGAGAGAGTACTTCACCCACAGTGATGTTCTTAAGAAAAAGAAACATATCATCATTCAGAATTATTTGCTTGCTCAGAAATGCATTCATTCTTAAGCAACAAACAGCTGCTCCTACATACTTCTTTTCCCTCAGCAGCGAACTCTGGCCAATACTTCGCCACTGGTGCATCGTAATCGAGCCATCCTTTGTCAACGCACAAAGCTACAGCTGCCGCAATCACTCCTTTCGATGTTGAGTAAACGATCTGCAGCGTTTCTGGTGTATAAGGTTTCGTCTTCTCAACATCTTTCCAACCACCACTCAAGTCCACGACACATTGTCCTCGATGATATACACACAAACTGGCACCAAGATCCAGTTCATCGATTATATTTTGTTCGAAAACCGCACGTACATTCTCCCAAGCAGGTGCTACTATGCCATGCACGTTGTTATTGTTGGCTGTTGAAGACATTAATAATAATAATGTGTGCACCTTTATCACATTGTATTCTTGTTCTTTTCGTGTGTTACTATTTGATAAAAATCCACAGTCCAATATTTATTAAAAGTAATAATGATGACTAAGTGCAAGTGAAAATAGAATGTTGTTGCTTTCTATTCTGTATGTAAGTTGAAATAAATCACATGGTATATGGTTTGATATGTAAATTACTCATTTTTTGTCGGTCTTTCAACTTCAAACTGAATTTAATCGAAAGATGACGCTAACATATCGAAATGAATTGAGGTTATCCTATGGACATGTATATATCTATGGCGTTCTTTCATCTAATGGTAGCCTTGTCTTGTCTGGCTTTCATTGACTTATATGCATTCACTTCACTTGATTTATTCAATAATACTCATTCACTAAAGTGAGTTCCTTTTTTTTATAAGATATGATGACGTTAGATTTATTAGTATCATGTTTATTCGTTCGGCACAAAAGCAAAAGAAATATTTGAACAGCCAAATCAACGGGTAAAACCGCGGTACAAAAAAAACAGGGTGTAGTGAGAACTAATCTTTTCTTTATCCACATCAATATGCAGACCCACACCCACACCCTTACAATGAGAAATTAAGTTTTTAATTCATTGAAATAATTTTTTTCTTTGAAACTCGTAAGATTTATATCATTGTTGAATTTCATTGAAAAGGATATACAAGTGAAATTTGTTTGTAAATCAAATCTATTGAGAAATAAGTTTGACAAAAAAATTCTATCTGACGACATTTTTCGATTACCACACCTCTACAATGAATACTTTTTATTTATAAGTTCTATAGGTGCTCTGCTGCAATCATTCATATGCGTCACTACGCGATAAAGTAGTATATGAATTAGGATGTGGGTGAGGATATTTATCCTAATCTTACACTCATACTCTCACCCACCCTCAAAATAGGTGTAGATATGGTGAGTGGTTATTCTGCTGGGTCACATCTACACTTAGAAAAATCCAATTCAGAGTAAGAAAGGCAGCAACAAACTGAATGATACGAAGTAGAGGCCCTCACTCATACGCAGTTATTTTTACTATTCTATACCATTGACAACAAAAAAAACTCATATACTTTTTGTTGTTGCTTAAGTAAAACTAACACAACATACCGAACGAAAGAAAGAAAGAGATCAAACACATACCACGTGTGCTATTTATTTTTATGCTGTTGATAATATGTCTCTTATGAATCACGAAAAAATCTTTCGTCACAATCTTTATATAATAAAGGTATAACAGTATAATATAAATTAATAGTTTTTTCGTTTCTTTTCTTTGATTATTCTTTTTATTGATTATTCTTTTCATACTCTTTAGCAATATTGATTTTCACAGTAACGTCGAGTCTACTTGTAAGTATTTCTGATTCTTTAGAACTGCAATAAAAGTTTGTTTTTGTTTGTGATTCTTTAGATCACAGTTAGTTTTTAAGCACATGAATTCGAGTAAATCAAAATCGTACAATTCCAGTTTACAAACGGAATTTAAAGAAAACAAAGAAAATATAACAATCATTTATTTTGATTTAAAATTAGGCAAAAAATCTATGAAACGAATAAATATGCTTCGAAAAATAAATGATTATGTACTTATGTATACAAACCTTGATGAATGTATTGCTCACATAGAAACAATTAAAAAAGAGAAAATTATTTTTGTTACTTCTGGGAAGAACGTGGTTAATATTATGTCTCGTATAGAAAATATTCGGCAGATCGATGGTGTATTAATTTTTTCTGGTAAAATCAATAAATATAATCAATTTAAAGAGAAAATTACTGGTATTTTTAATAATACAAATGAAATGATCAATGCAATACGTAAACATATAAAAATAATCCAAGAACAACTTAAAACCTTTAGCTTTTATCGTCGTCATCAACGTTATATTCGTAATTTAACTAATAGTTCACCTGATTTTCTTTGGTTTCACGTTTTCAAAGATGTTCTTATTCGATTACCACATGATGAGCAAGCTAAACAAGAAATGCTTAATGTATCACGACATTATTATCGAAATAATAGTCAAGAATTAAAACGTATTAACGAATTTGAACGAGTTTACGAATCAAAAGATGCGATTAAATGGTATACAAAAAATTCATTTGTCTATCGTCTGATTAATAAAGCATTACGAACAGAAGATGTCGAACAAATGTATACATATCGATATTTTATTCAAGACTTGTATTCAGCACTCTCTCTTGAACACCAGATTTTTAAAGAATATGCTGAAATAGTGACGGTTTATCGCGGTCTTCGATTAACTCAAACTGAATTTGATGAATTAACTAAAGATGAACAACAATTAATATCAATGAATGGTTATCTATCGACAAGTTTCACTCGTACAGTAGCTGAAATGTATGCAGGGGAACCAAAAACAGTTTCAGATAAATTATCAGTTTTACTTGAAATTGAATGTGATGTGGACAAATTAGGTGATAGTGTGATTTTTGCTTGTATTACATCAGAAAGTAGTTTTCGAAATGAAAATGAAGTTCTTTTTGATACAGGTGCAACATTTCAATTAGCAGCGACACCAAAACAAAATGATAATGGCGTATGGCATTTGAAAATGACTGCAACAGATGAAGGTCGATCACTTGTACGGAAATATATCGATGATCATCTTGAATTTAGTACAGGTACGAGCGCAAAAATTATGTATGGTGTTTTGTTGAACAATATTGGGAAATATGAATCATCGTTATCATATTTTAATAAACTTCTGTTGAGTCCTGAAGGGGAAGACCAAGCTTTAATTCACGTACATATAGCAAGTGCATTGGCAATGCAAGATGATAAGATTAATGAATGGAAACATTATGAAAATGCTTATAAAATACTAACTGAAGCAGAACCAAGACGTATTGAAGATGAAGCTCGTCTTCTCATTTATATGGGTATTTTTTGTTCGGATAAAAATGATAATGATCAAGCACTTGAATATTTAAAGCGTGCGCTTCATCTATTTGAACAAGTGTATGATAATACAAATGGTGAAATAGCTAGAGCTCTACTCTGTATCGGAAGATGTTACGAACATAAGGGTGATTATGATCGAGCTCTAGAATTTGACACTCGAGCATTAAAAATACATGAACAATGTGCAAATCCAAATCATCTTATACAATGTCATGTACTTCTTGCAATTGGTAATACTTATCAATTACAGTGCAAATATAATGAAGCAATAACTCAATTTCAACGAGCATTAGAATTAAGAACTCGAACGTTACCTAAATATCATCCCGAGATTGCTGATTGTTTATCATTGATAGGAAAAACTTTAGGTGATATGGACAATCCGAGTGAATCAGTTATCTATTCAATGCGTGCATTCTATATGTACAGTAAAACGTTACCAGAGACAGAGTTAAATGAAAAAAGTTCAGTATTAGTCGATATTGGTGTAGCATTTTCTAGTGTTGGTGCCGATCAACTTAGTATTGAATATTTGTATCGTGCATTAAAAATGAAAAAAAAATGTTTACCATACAATCATCCGGATTTTGCTGCTATATTTGATAATATAGCTCTCAATTATACTAACTTGAATAAACATTTATTAGGATTAAGATATTCATTAAAAGCATGTCGTTTACGAAAACAAATACACCAATCAAGGCATCCAGATATGGCTGGATCATTAAAAGCATTAGCGTCAGTATATTTAAATATGGGTTGTTACAATAGATCGATGCATTATCTTCTTCGAGCTAAGAAAATACTAAAGAGAACAACTACTAATGTGCACCCTGAGCAACTCGATGTGAAACGACTGATTAGAATACTCAAGAAGAAGTTACAAAAAGAACAACAAAACATGAAAAAAAGAAAACGATGGAAAATACAGAATTGGAAAAGAACGTATCATTTGAGATTATTATCGGAACTTGTGAAAATCAAGTTAGAATGATGTCTACCGATGTAATATTGATGTTTTCAGATTTTTTCGATATTCAGAAGCATCTGGTTCAATTCTTCATAATACCTTTGATAACCTTTAACAATTCTATCGTATAATATACTTAAAAATTTTGAGTGAATCATCTAATCAAAGAGTGGGTGTGTATGTGAGTGAGTCAGAAAGTTATTTAATCACACTCACACCCACACCTACACCCACACCCTTTCTAATAGCTGTTTAAATATTTCTAAAGAAGTTAAATATATTTAAAAGTGTTTCTATATGATTTCAATATTTGTTATGCTGTGGTTTCGTTGATTGAGTTTGTTTCAGAATTAGTATATGCATTATTCATATATACATTTTCTACTGTTGGAAGATCTTCGATAAGATTAGTCATTGATTCTTGTCTTATTCGTTGTCTTCTCTTTGAATGCCAAAAGCCATAGGAAAAATAAATAATATGACCAAATCCCATATAGATAGCACCTCGGATGCCAGTTGCCTTTGATGTATACATTAAAAGTAGAATACACAAGAGAGCTCCTAATGTTGGTATTAGCCACTTGCCCAATGGAACTTGAAATGTTCTTGGCATATCTGAATGTGTATAGCGCATCTACAAAGTAGAATTTTAGGGTATCAACTTATATACAGAACATATCTAACTTACTACAATAACATCGACATGCACGAAAAGATATATAACTAGGGCACCCATGGAAGTTGTTTCACCAAGAATATCGACTGGACATATACCAGCTATTACAGCACAAACACTACCTAGAAATAGAGATTAGGTATCGTTTATAGTGAATAGAATGGGATGTGTACCACTAATAAGTATTGAAACCCATGGTGTCTTAGTACGAGAATGTATTCTGGCAAAAATAGGTGGCAGTAGACCATCATGAGCCATGGCATAAAATATACGAGTTTGTGAAAGTAAAATTGTTAATGCTACAGTTGTAACGCCAGCAATAGCGCCTAGATCCATAATAATCAAAAGCCAAAGACCATAAGGTGTAGCTTTTCTATATAAATTACAATGTATATAATATATTTTCTCTATTACATTACTAATAACTTACATTGCATCAGTAAGTGGGCTATGCTCATTTATCGAATAGTATGGAACTAGTCCAACCATAACAGTACTAACACCCAAATAAATTAACATTGAAATAATGAGAGAACCAATGAGAGAAATAGGTAGCGTTCGTGATGGTTTATCTGCTTCTTGAGCTACAGTTGCTACTGATTCAAATCCAACATAAGCAAAGAAAACACTTGTTGATCCTTTCAGCATACCTGTTATGCCAAACTGATTAAATGAGCCTAATTTTAAATAAAAATATATCTATTTGTTGGAAATAGTATGAAGGTAAGAGATACCTTTATTTGGAGGAACGAATGGAATATAATTATTAGTATTTACATATTTACAACAAGCAAATATAAATATTAATAATGCAAGAATTTTGAAAATGACGAACAATAAATTAATGATTGCTGTTTGACGAATTCCAATAAAAAGAAGAATTGCAATAGCAATGGTAATTCCAATTGCTGGTAAATTTAGTACATCTCCAGTAGCTGTAATAGCTATCGTATATTCATTTACAACCAATGGTGCTTGAAGAAACACGCTTGATATGTTTAAATTGGACACAGTACCAACAAACTGTACAATATGACTACTCCAACTGACTACTACGGTAGCTGCTGCAAGCTGATACATTAATGTTAAATAGCATGCAACAATCCATGCACAATATTCTATAGAAAAAAATCAATAATTTAAAAATATGATTTTCTAAATAAAGTAATAATTGAACATACCTCCTAAAGCTAAAATAATAAAGAGAAATGTTGATGAAATCAAGAAAAGAATATAATTAGTAACTAACCCGCATAAGTATAAGTGTATGCAGATCCTGAACTAGCCATCATTACTGCCATTTCTGAAAATGATAAAGTTGCTAAGAGAGCAACAATACCAGCAATAAAAAAAGAAATAATCACTGATGGACCAGCATATTCTTTCGCTGCTTGTCCACTGTTTATAAAGATTCCTGCACCTAGAAAGTAGATTAATAATTATGAAAATCTATTTGTAACATTAGTTTAATTTACCAATAATACCACCGAGACCTATTCCAGTTAATTGAATCCAATTTAATGTACGTCGCATCTCATTTTTTGTTTCAATTTCAATTTGTATATCTTTCATTGGTTTACGTGCAATGAGTTGTTTGCCGAATGACTTACATGACCATAATACTTGCCGAAAAACACGGTATGTTAATTGTGTACATGAACTATTGTCGATAGATGTTATGTCTGACATTGTTATATTTTGGACAAGTAGAATACCTGTCTAGATTCTAAGATGTGACCGGTATATATATGTCGTAAGACAGATTGAAATCTAGTTCGGATTGAAATAGAGACATTTGGATAGATGGTCTGTAAGGGTAAAAGAGAGAGCGAGAATGCTAGTGATAGTTTCATATTCATTCATCATCATTCGTCACACACTTTTATCCTCACTCTAACAAGTATCGTCAATCAGTCAGCTATGAATAATTTGACCTAGTTGAGATCAAAATTATGATCTGTTCTAGTTCGATTTAAAACTGAACTAGATTTCAATCTGTCGTTTGATATATATGTATAAAACGAAAGAAGAAAAAAGGGAAGTAAATATGGCAAAAACTTATGCATCAATTGCAAATCATAATTTTCAAAGAGATGAAATCATGCATAATTATGAATGCCAAGAACAGACTTCAAGCAGAGAAATCATATTACCCCTTGAGCGGTTCTCTTATATTTTTTATATCCAATATTACTTGCATCTACCAGTTGGTGGTATTTTTTGTCTATATATGTTAAAATATTTCTTTGTGTTACCTTTGTTTCTGCTTGTATGAAAATCAAGTAGTAGGTAAATATTCGATATTTATACAACAAATAATAGAACTGATGAAAAATATTTTTCATTTCTTTTTCAAAAAAGAAAAGTATCAATTTTGTTTTATTATAACTGAAGAAATGCAAAATTGTGCCGAGTATTAAATCATATTGTATTATATTAACATAAATTCAGTAGAAAGAAATCTTCAAAATATCATATTTACTTTTAAATTATAACAAAATAAAGTTAATCAACGATTTCAATTATCCGCTGCATGATACATGCTGATCACATTTTGGTTTTAATCATTAAAACAATATAAAATATAAGCACATAAATATATACATGTCCAAGTAGAAATTTGTTTTGCTTTAATTCTATTAGACCGAACTTTGACGCTTTTGAAATATTATTACATACTGTAAAACTTTATTAAGATGATGAATGACGCTATAAGTTACACATGGAAAATATTTTCATTCTATTTTCTTCATTGATTATATAAAAAAAACTAATATTAGATACATGAAAGAAATAAAGAAAGACAAAAAGAGTTGCTGCTTCATAACTATTTAGTATTAACTTTGAAACAAACTTTTATTATATGACAATAAATGTATTTATATTCTATTAATATCTTATCCAAATTCAGTTATCATTTATAAAATAAAAATATTATTATGTATCAATATTCATCTCGTTTCTTCAATAGAAAAAAATATTTTTATGAAAAAGCAACATTGAAACTGTAAAATAAATGACAACTTCTCTAATATTTTATTCAATAAATAATATTATTATATGTCATTTTTAATATCAAAACCTCATTATGACTGTATCATCAATTGTATTTTCAATTATTTGGTCAGTTGCTTCGTTGTTCCAATCTGATTCAGATTCACTATTTGCATTGTTATTTGAATTTAATTCGAATTCATTCTGTGGATCGTTTGCTAACACAAGTCCTATTGTTGATACACGCTCGGCTGCACTATTAATTGATTCGAGTCGTTGTGGTTGTCGTCTCTTAGAATGCCAATATCCGAAGCAAAAGTAAAAAGTTTGACCTAATACAGTCCACGAAAGAAACTGAAACCATGTTACTTTTTTTGTAGGTATTAAGAATAGTATACATAGTATTGCACCTACTACTGCAATAAGGTTCGGATCAATTATGGTTTGAAATGGTCGTTGCAAACCTTTATGTGTATAGCGCATCTATAAAAGACATTTCAGTTAGAAAAAAAATGAAAGAATCGATTGCATTGGACTTACGACTAGAACTTCAATATGTACAAAAAAGTATATAAATAGAGCACTAACTGATGACGTTTGACCAACAATATCTACTGGACAAATACCCGAAAAAACGGCACAAAATATACCTAAATAATGAAAATAAAATCTATCTGATAACTATTTTTTTTTATAATAGATTATATACCGCTAATGATTGTAGAAACCCATGGAGTTTCAGTCCTAGAATGAATTTTAGCAAAGAAGGATGGTAATAAATTATCCTTAGCCATTGCATAAAATATTCGAGTTTGTGAAAGCAAGGCCGTTAGTGCCACAGATGTAAGACTAGCAATAGCACCTAGATCCATAAGAGCCGGTAACCAAACACCATAAGGTGTAGCCTTTCTATAGAAATTATAAAACTTATATTAAAATCATTATAGTGTATCGATAATAACTTACAAAGCAGTAGAAAGAGGATCGTCTACATTTAGAAGTTGGTATGGTACAAGTCCAACCATAACAGTACAAACTCCTATATAGATTAGGAATGAGATTAGTACCGATGCTACAGTTGAATATGGTAGTGTTCGTGTTCGTTCTTTTGCTTCTTCAGCTACTGTTGCAATTGAATCAAAGCCAACATAAGCAAAGAAGACGTATGTGCATGCATATGCAGTACCTGATGCTCCATAGTGACTAAACGAACCTAAGACATGTAATGCAAGTCATTCATTTCTTAACTTTAATAATCAAATAATTATATATACCTTGATTTGATGGAATAAACGGTTGATAATTATCAACATTTACAAATTTACAAGTTGAAAATATGAATATCAATAGAATAATAATTTTGATTACTACTAACACAAGATTGACTATAGCTGTTGCGTAAATTCCACTCATAAGAAGAATTGTAATAGCAATAGTAATAACAATTGCAGGTAAGTTGATTGCACCGCCAGTAATTGAAAAACTTTCTGTATCATCACTCCAAGCTACTGGTGCTTGGATTAATGAGGTTGTTGCATTATAATTAGATACAACGTAAATAAAATGGGTAACATATTTGCTCCAGCTAACTACTACTGTACAAGCAGCTAATTGATAAGTAAGTGCATAATTCCATCCAATAAACCAAGCTGCATATTCTACAAAGAAGGACAAAAAAAGATCTTTTATAACATTAATTTTTGATTGTATACCTCCTAAAGCTATAATAATAAAAATACATGCTTATAAAAATAAATAAATAAAAAATATGAACAAGAACTAACATGCATAAGTATATGTATAGGCTGCACCGGACAGAGGCATCATCGCCGCTAATTCAGAAAATGATAAAGCGGCTAGTAAAGCGACAATTCCACTGGCAATAAACGAAATAATTACTGATGGACCAGCATATTCTGCAGCAGCTTTTCCACTTAAGTCAAGTATTCCTGAACCTACAAAGAAGATAAACACATTTCACACGATGAATAGTTTTTAAATTTACTGACCAATAATACCACCAAGACCTATACCAGTTATTAGATACCAGTTTAATGCTGGTTTCAAAACATGTCGTGTATTAATAGTATCATGTACCTGAGTCATTGGTATACGTTTAGTAAGTCGTTTGATAAAAACTGTAGCACAAGACAATGATTGTTTAGCAACTTTATTGTCAGCCATCCGTTGTTGTATATATGGTTTTAATCGTATTATAGTTTCAAAAATGATACGTACTATATATCAATGCATTAGTTATATACAGTACGCATTCTTGGTAGTATATGCTAAT